AGATATAATACGAAATGAGTACATACATGAAAAGGTTGGAGTAGCTCCAATAGCAGATAAGATTAGAGATAGTCATCTTAAATGGTTTAGTCGCTTAAAATATCATCTTCCTAATGACCTTGTTTTTGTTTTTGTTTTTTTCCTAATGACCTTGTTAGGATAGTATATGTATTAAATTCAACCTATGTTAAGAAAGGTAGAGGTAGGTCAAAAAAGGCTTTGGCTGGAAAGTATTAAAAAATATCTTTTTTTATTAGATTTAAATGATAATTTGACTTTTAATGAGACACAATGAAGAAAAAGGATTTCACATAGTGGGATAAATACTATTTGCTGTTGTTATTATATGGAATAAAGTTCTAGGCATGTAATTTCTAAAATTTAGAATATTTTATAGGACTACTACATGTTAAAAAAAATAATAAAAAGATACAATGTTGGCTATTAAAAATAATCAAAATTTGACCTAAAGAAATTGATTCAAATCTTTTTTGAGATCCTCTCTTGAACTTAAAATGAATTTCAACAAGTGTTTTTTAAATATTTATAATGAAATAGTATCAAATTAAAAAAAAAGTAAAATTTACTATTTTCTTTTAAACAGTTGATGTTTAGTTGATTTTATATATATATATATATATATGTGGAACGGGGAGTATCGGCCCGCTGCCACGTCAGCTTGTGATGCGCTTAACCATGTCCACTAGTCTCCTCGGCTGATCTAGTCAAGCAACCCACTCCTATTACTACTCGTGGCCCGCACTTATTAGGTCCCTCCTAGAGGGGCGCTACCGCTTGAGGGAATTGAGCACAGATTGGGGGATTCCGAACGGCACTCACCCAACAACCAAGCTAAGCATCGGTGGGTTAATTATATGATCTATATATTTATGATTATGACATCTTATAATGGGTATAATTGTGCTAGCAATCATGTTGTTAGGATTCTACTCACTCCGTAACAGGCAAATCAGGGTTGGGAATCTTCTCATCCTTGATGACGCTCCAACCACCGCACATTAAGGCTCTAACATTTGGTTTGGACGGTGCACGTTGTCATATGAGGTATGCTCAACTTTGGCATAATCTGAGCCCCATTCATTTATTTTAAAATCATTTACTTAGATTTCAAATAATCAAAAACTTAAATATCATTAATATAGTTTTGTTTCGGATTGGAACATTCTCAATAGTAGAGAGATGAAAAACTTAATATTTTAGTTTTGAACGAAGATCATTCACACATACATATAAAGAGGGGTGCGAGAGTCATAAGAGGCATTAGGGGTGTCAATTCGGGTCAGCGGGTCGGGTTCGGGTCGAACCCGAAACTAACCCGGCACTGTTCGGGTCAACCCGAACCCGACCCGTTTTTTAAAAACGGGTCAGGTTTCCTGACCCGAACCTGTCCCGATTCGGGTCCGGGTCAACCCGACCCGACACGAATGACCCGAATTTGATCTAAAATTGCTAATTTTAGGGTCAAAATCGGGTCAAAATTCAATTTTCGGGTAAAAATCGAGTCAAAATCGGGTCAAAAAAGGGTCGACCTCAGGTTTTCGGGTCAAATCTGAGTTTTCGTGTCACTTTCGGGTCAATTTCGGGTTGCTGGGTCAACCCGAACCCGACCCAATTTTTAAAACAGGTTGATTTGTTCAACCCGAACCCGACCTGATTCGGGTTCGGGTTGACTCGAACCCGGATTTTTCCGGGTCGGATTTGGGTCGTGTTTCGGGTCGTGTCAAAAATTGACATCCCTAAGAGGCATCAATCTTTTACATGAAAATCATAAAAATGGGGAAAACAATGGGGCCTGACTAAGTGTTTGTTGTTGATTACAAATGTTGCCCTTCTAGAGGGGGAAGGCATTGGCTCAATATATCATATATAACGTATTACATAGTTGAGGTTGAAAGAATCCAATGATAAGTGAGCCATTCTCAATAGAACATTGGCCTGCTCAATTGGTCGATATGGATGTATTTGGGCAATGAAGATTAGAGGGATTGTAGTTGGCATGCGGCGGTGGCCCTCAATAGAGGTCGGAGGGGTCGTAGTAGGTGGGCGACAGAGGTCAGAGGGTTTGTAGTTGGCGAGTGACGGTGGTTGGAGAGAACATAGTTGGTGGGTGACCGAGATCATAGGGAACGTAGTCGGCGGGAGATGGTGATCAGAGGGACCATAGTCGGAGGGATTGTAGTGGGCAAGCGGCAGAGGTTGGAGGGATTGTACTCGGCGGGCGACGATGGTAGGAGGGACTGACTGTAGTCGATGGCGATGGAGGTTTGAGGGATCATAGTCGACGAGCGATAGAGGTCGAAGGGATCGTAGTCGGCGGGCGCCGGTGATCAGAGCGACCATAGTCAGCGGACGAAGAAAGTCAAAGCGGTCATAGTTAGTGAGCTACTGAGGTCGGAGGGACCGAGTCAGTTGGCAATAGTGGTCGGGGTAGTGTGTAGATGGTAGTCTGGTGGAGGATCGATAATGGTAGTCTGGTGGAGGATCGATAATGGTTGGCCGAGGGAGGTGGTCCGGCGGTGTTTGACGGCCGGGCAGTGGTCTGATGATGGTCAGACGGAAGTGTAGTGGTGGTCGGCAGCTGGGTGGAAATTTGGCGATGGCCAAGCTATTGCCTGACCACGGTTGACAGAGGTTTTCGAGTCGTGGTGCCTAGGTGAAGCTCTTGATCCTTGAAGCCTCAAAGCTCTCTCTCTCTCTAATATCCATCAAAAGGTCCAAGCTCGTCCCCCTTGATCTGGGACAAATTCGGAGTGCTCTACCAGACGACCCATATTGATCTCCTAGATTATTGAGTGCTCATCAGCCATTTAAGTGACATAATGATGTCGGAATTAAACGATCTTGGGCTTGTTGGATTCATCTCGTCTAGCTGCTTGATTCGATTATAAGCATGCTATATTTGGTGGCCATTAGCCCTCCAATTAATGATTTGAACCTTCCAAATATGTTTTGGTCCCTTGATTTGGACCCATTTGGACTCAATATGACTATAAGTTTACTAAAATTGGAGTTCAGATGATCCCGCATTTAATTTCAAAATTTTCAGCTTGAATATGCCTCTACATTCGTGCTCACTCAAGATCAATTTTGGTGACAGATCAAATTTGAATTACACAAATAGAATATGAAAAAATTACAGTTTTTATTAAAATATATCACATAATTATTAAATCTATTTTAAGATTAATACAATATAAACTTTAATTAATTTCTCCTATGTCATATTCATCTGAAAAATATAACCACAATATGAGTGCTCGGCTGGTCCTACTAAATGCAACCTTACATCTGTTATCCACTTCTTTGGTCTCTGTCATCCACCACCATCAAATTAAGCTTAATTAATCTTATCTTATCAGCTTAATTAATTATTAATTAAGAATCAGCTTGTGTTTAACCAGCTGTATATCAGACAAAAGAATGCCAGCACCGGATTGGTTTGGGCTAATTAACGTGCTTGTTATCCACTACTTGGCACTCTAAGATTTTTTTATTGCTTTTTAAAACGGAGTTTTAGTACAAATTTTTTTTATTTTTGTACTAAAACTCCGTTTTAGAAAGCAATAAAAAAGCTGTCCTAAATGAAGCCTTAGGCTTTTTTACTGCTTCTTAAAGACGCTTTCTAATACAAAAATTTTAATTTTTGTACTAAAAAGCAGCTTTAAGAAGCAGTAAGAAAGCCGTCTCAAACGAAGCCTTATTTAGGATAACTTTTTTATTATTTTTTAAAATAACTTTTAGTGAAAAGCTACCCCAAACAAAAAACTAAGGCTTCGTTTGGGACAGCTTTTTTATTGCTTTCTAAAACGGAGTTTTAGTATAAAAATAAAAAAATTTGTACTAAAACTCCGTTTTAGAAAGCAATAAAAAAGCCGCCCCAAACGAAGCCTAAGTTTCAAAAGCTACGTCAATATCCACTGCTTCAAGTTAGAATCTTATACGGTCTTCCACTACTCAATTTTCCACCCCAAAATCATGAAGAATGAAGACCTCAATATGGGCAAATTATTACCTCCGGTGTCCGGACAACACCGGATGCGTCCGGACACCAATTCAGACGCGTCACATCACCCAAATATATCGTGCCCCAATGTATTTGGATGACATGGCGCGTCTGGATTGTATGTCCGGACCGGACGTAATAATTCGCCCTCAATATGACTTTATAAATTATAACATATAATTTTTAAGAATTTTTTTTTTGTTAAATTTTAAAATAGTCCATCAATTATTTATCTACGGCCATTTTAGTTCAAAAATACAAAGTTATTTTAATTTATGTTTCGTTTGGGCAGCTTTATTACTGCTTTATAAAACAATATTTTAGTACAAAATTTTTTAATTCAAGAAATTTTTATACTAAAAGCTATTTAAGAAAGCAGTAAATAAGTTGTTCCAAATGAAACATTAGTCTCTCAACTATACAAATTTAATTCAAAATTAGATCTTTGGGACTAAATTGAGATCAATTTTATAAAATCGAAGAATTAATTTGAGATCAATTTTATAGCAAAATTATAACATGAGGAATTATTTTAGATTACTTTTGTATAATTGAGGAAGTAGATTGAATCAATATGATATCATGAGATTAAATTGATCATATAATAATAGTCTGAAAATTATTTTAAAAATTTTCTAAGAAAATTAAATAGTCCTCCAATTATTTGATTAATTTAATCACAAAATATTATCTCTTAAATTTATAAAAAAAAAAATTAAAAACAATCAGAATATAATTTTTTTTAATTTAATTTCTGAGATATTATTTAGTCAATTTTCTAACAACCAGCCTGTTTGACTCCTTAAAAATTATTAGGTGCGGAGTACGTACCATCCGCACAAGTATTAGGTACCTAACGGTACCGAATATGAATACCACTAGATACCCAATACTTATACAGACCACTCAGCACCTAATAATCTCTCCCTTTAGTCGGCCAACTATTTCGGCTCTTATATCACTGAAATGTCTAATATTTAAGCATCGATCAACCAGCAAGGATTTCTTGTAGTTTTGGCCTCTTCGGTAACTCAGCCATTTCTCCGCTCGAAAACTTCGAAGCGAGGAAATCTTCGAAGTCCAATGGATTCAAAGCTATAGCAGACACCGCTCCAGCACCTCCTGCAATAGTTAACTTCTTCACCAAATCCCTTTACCTCGGCATTTTCTCTCTTCTTCTCTTCCCTTTCACTCTCGCCCTGTCCAGATATTCTGATCACATGTCGTCGATTCAGTTCCTTCCGCCGGCGAACTACACGGTCGCGGTGGAGCTAGGGTTTCGTGATTCTCGTAGCAAGAGATGCTGGAGTGCCGGCGCGGGATTTTCGAAGAGGTGGTGTCCGCGCATGCGGTCGATTCGGGCCGAGACAGCGGCGGAGACGTTCGGGAGCCGGAAAGGGGAGAGCTTGGGACCTAATGGCGAGTGCGATTGCGACATTCCGGGTAAATTTCTTTGTTAGGTATATTGAGTGATTAATTGATGGAGAGGTCTGAGAAGGCAATCGCTTTTTTGTTTTTTTGCCATGGATGCTTGATTCTGGAGGGGGTTGGTCGGGAGGATGTCATTTAATGATGTGATTTGGCGGTCAAGTGGTATTTTCTTGACTGCATGTAGACATTGTTTCCGACCAAATATTCTTTGTCTACGTTCATTGAACTAGAGAGTGAAATTACCCCATAACTCCTCATTTCTTTTGTTAATTTTCAAATTGCGATTCCTTCGTTTGATTATGGTTTTTTTAAGAAGATTTTATCAGTTACCACTTCTATAATAGTAACAAGAAAAAAATTAGGTAAGACGATGGTTCTGCCGGGAAAATTTTAAGGTTTTATTGTAGTTAGAATCTTGCCTTATGATTCGGCAAGGGAATATTAGGTAAGACGATGATTAATCGTCAGTTTTCGAAAGTGTTTATTCTCCTTTTTTAATCTTTTTTTAACTTGTTTATTGACGCAATAAATCAAAAGAGAAAAGAGTTTCTGGACAAGGACCGAGCTAATAATTAGATTACAATTAGGATCAATTGATCGCTAAATCAAAAGTTAGTCTAGAAAAATCAGGAAAACAATTGAGACTTTTTTCTGTTTTTCATTTGTCAACTTGCTTTTAGAAGCATCGGTGCAACTTCTTGTTAAAATGACTGGTAGATGTTCGGGTACAAGTCAGAATCTTTTATAAGTGCAAAGGCCTAGCAATTTGTGACACATACAAGTAGCTAGATCTGGAAAAGTTTGTGAAATCGTTTATATTAGCAAGATAATTTTGTGCTATTTTTGTTTAAGGTTGATCTTATTTCTGTTGACATTAACAACAGAATTTTTTGCTATTTATGTTGAAGGTTGATCTGACTTCTATTGAACTCTGATTACATTAGTATCCCCAGCAAAGGGGGCGGGATCTCAATCTAGGCGGAACTCTGTTCTGCCTGCTATAAACCCTGGTCGGTCCAGGATAGACTGGTCCATCAATTTTCTTCTTGTTGATAAGCCTAGAGACGTAGTTGATGAAAAACTTATGGAGGACAATTTTTGAGTCTAAAGGTTTTCATTTGAATAGATCTACTGAATATAGAGTATAATTTTAATAGTAATAGATCTAGTGGTGGGATGTGATATTGGGTGATCAAATCATTAAAAAGAGAGCATATTTTAGATATCTCGGGTCTATTATTCAACGTTATGGTGCAATAAATGAGATATTATTAGTAGATTTCAAGTTGGATGGTTGAAGTGGAGGAATGCATCAGATCGGGTCAGTTTTCTGATAGAAAAGTATGCCTCAAACTTAAGGAAAAATTTTATAAAATGGTGAGACCTGCAATGTTTTATGACGCAAAATGTTGGCGATTAAAAGATGAGCATAAAACTAAGTTAAGTGTTGCAAAGATAAGAATTCACTTTATACATGTTATGCTAAGAGATTGCTATCCTGACTTCCAGAACCTAATCCCAAATTAGCTTGAAATTCTAACCTTAATCATGTAAATGAAATGTAATGAGTTTAAGAGCTAAAAAATGCAAATACAACGAGATTGTCTTATGAATGGATTCTTTCTTTATTGCATCTATGCAAGCTAGCCCTGCAAGATTCTAATATAAGTTGCTACAAAAGAGATGCAGTTTTTTTATGCTTTACATTTGCAATTCTTTACACAGGGAGAAGTGCTCCTGCCCTTTCAAATGTGGGGAACTCAACAAATATTGCATGGCATGAATGTCCTATCGGAAAACTAGAAAGGCAAATTTTACTCAATCAGAAAGGATGTGTGATATGGATCACAGGTCTCAGTGGCTCAGGTTTGTTGGTCAAGTAGCCCATTCATATAAAATGTGGTTTATTCTTTGTGGTTATTTATCTAAGACAGAAATCTAAACTTTTTCAAACCTTTAAGTTCCGAACTCGCCTTGTTCTGTGGTTTGTTTGAAACTTCCTGTAGATTTAAATTTACATTGTTTACCAACCAAATGAAAAACTTTGGGTCATTCTTCAAAATTCTCCAAAGAAATTAATGTAAATATTATTCAAACAGTTAAGCACTTTGCAGTGCTCAGAAGTAAGAATAATTTGCAGTGCTCAGAATTAAGAATAACATCTAAGGCTTTGATGAAGAATAAAAAATTAAGCCTTCTACATTCTACATTATAGATTTCTTGCCTGTTGTATTTAGTTTTGACTATAGGAATTTATATGACCCTGTTGAATTTCAACTTTTGATTCATGTTTCAGGCAAAAGCACACTGGCTTGTGCCCTTAGTCGAGAACTATATGCCCTTGGATATCTTTCTTATGTGCTTGATGGTGACAACATTAGACATGGTTTAAACAAAGATCTTTGTTTTAAAGCTGAGGATCGCGCTGAAAATATACGCAGAATTGGTAATTGGTGGAACATTTTTCTCCTATATGGCATATAATAGTTGCATGTCATCTGCCAGCAACTGTGATGGTGCTTTGTATTGTTTGGTCCTATGGGTGTCAATATTTGATACGACCCGAAAATCCGATTCAAACGCGACCCGAAATTTCCGGGTAAAGGTCAACCCAAACCCGAAACGGATCGGGTTTGGATTCAACAATTTGACATGTTTAAAAATCGGGCCAGGTTCGGGTTAACCCTTTGACCTAAAAGTGACCCGAAATTGACCCATTTTCGACCCGAAAACCAGTTTTTGACCCGAAAACCTGAGATTGACCCGTTTTGACCTAAAAGCGGAGTTTGACCCTTTTTTGACTTGAAAACTAGCCATTTTTTCACGGTCTCGGGTCATTCGGGTCGTGTTGGTTGACTCGGACTCAAAGCGGGTCAGGTTTTGGTTAGGGTCCGAAAAATCAACCCATTTTCAAAACAGGTTTGGGTTGACCCGGCACCGAATAGTGCCAGTCAATTTCAAGTTCAACCCGAACCCTATCCGTGATCCGAAATTGACACCCCTATTTGGCTCGTTATGTACTACTGTTCAAATAGAAATCCATCTTAGTTTTCTGAAAGGTACTACATCTGTTTCTTTCTCTTTTTTTTTTTTAAGGTGAGGTAGCAAAACTCTTTGCTGATGCTGGTGTCATATGCATAGCTAGTCTAATATCTCCCTATAGAAGAGACCGGGATGCATGTCGTGCTATGCTGCCTGAGTCCATTTTTATTGAGGTGTTTTTTTTTTTTCCCCCTCTTTCGATTTTGCTCCTTGCATTTCCTGTAGACATGACATACATGAACTGTGTTTTCTCCAGGTTTACATGGATATATCATTGGAGGTTTGTGAATCAAGAGATGCAAAGGGCTTGTATAAGCTCGCACGAGAAGGAAAGATAAAAGGTATGATTCAGGTTTCAAATCTACTTCTGATTAAAATCACAAAAGGTACAAATATTATCATCACTGATGAGATTTGTTGAGATACAGAAAGGAGGAAATATTCCTACTGGTAAATTACATGTAGATTTTTTTTCTAGTCTAAGTGGCTCTTTAAGTTAAGATTCCTCATCTCCTGAACTTATTTGAGGAAATAACTGAATCCTGCAGGTTTTACTGGTGTTGATGATACTTATGAGCCACCTTTGAATTGTGAGGTTAGCTAATGTATTTGGCTACTGGAAATACTAGCCTGATCTTAGCAGTTTTTTTTTTTTTTTAATTTCTGCTAATATTTTCCTCTTTTAATGTCACTTGAACCATTTCAGATAGTTATCGCACCAACAGATGGAGAGTGTCCTCCTCCAGGCACCATGGCCAAGCAAGTGATTTCATACCTTCATGAGAACGGATTTCTGAAGGCTTAAATCTTTGGGTTCGTGTGTCCACATCTCGTTGACACTGATGAACTAACCCTCTTATCACTTAATAATGAAAAAGAAAAAAGAAAACAACAAACATCTTTGGCTCTGCACAGTAGTCCTTTCTTTCACGAAAAATTATTATGTGCAGACGTCGAACGCCCTCCGGAGAACAATCAGAATGCGCCCTTCATTCTTTGCTCGGTATGCAGCTTGATATGCTGGCGTGATTGCACCTAATTCACCTCCGGACGTAGAGCTGCATCCGTCGTCCACACAGAATAATTTCTCTTCTTTCACCAACTGCTGTAGGTATAATTTGTGTATAATTATTAGGATATTGCAGAATAAAATGTTTTTTTTTTTTTTAATTTAAGATTAGATCAATCTTTGTATGCAATTCAATGTATACCAGTTAGTTGCTGCATAAGAATTTTTTTGTATTATCTATTGGAATAAAAGATGGTAGAATCATCTGTGATGTGTAATCATATGAGGGGTTTTTATTTGTAAAATTTCTGACATTTGGAATAAAGGATTGGTTTGGCAATCATTTTTCTTCTTGAATTGTTGCTTTAATGTTAGTATATATTAAATTTACCTTAATTTTGATAATTTTTTTAAAATTAGTTAGCATAACATGTTTTTGTTTCTAAGCAGCAAATGATTTGAGTAAGATTTGTGCAAATTTTTTTATTATTATACTGAAGATAGTCTGATAGAGACTTTCTGGTGGTTGTAAATTATGATGCTCATTTGATTTTTATAAATGTTATTAATTTATTAAGTTCATTGTTTATTGCAATAAGTGAAACTGTTATATTATTAATCATGCTAATGCTGTCCATGACTATGTAATAAATTGATAACATTACTCATTTTCTATTACTATTATAAGGAAATAAAATTATAATTAAAAATAAAGTTTATTTAATAATTATCTTCTATCTTGCAATTTATCCTGATATGTGAGGGTATCACACTGCAATTATTCACTTTTTTATCTATTTAAAGATGAACATAAATCATTTAAAAAAATTAGTAGACATTTTGTCTTTTGGCTGATGATGTTTTTGTTGTTGATAAAACTAGAGAGGAAGTTGAAGATTAATTTGAATTATAGAGATCAACTTTAGAGTTTAAAGATTTTCATTTAAGTAAATCTAAAATTAAATATATTGAGTTTAATTTTAGTAGTAATGGATCTAATGGGGGACTATGACTTTGGGCAATTAAGTCATTAATAAGAGTACATGCTTTAGACATCTCGGATCTACTGTTCAAAATGATTGTGAAATAGATTGGGATATTATAAGTAGAATTCAAGTTGGATGGTTGAAGTTGAAGAATGCATAAAGTCTATTGTGTGATCGAAAAGTACCCCACAAAATTAAAAGGAAAAATTCTATAAAAGATGGTGGTGTAACCTACATTACTTTATGGCATAGAATATTGACCATTAAAAGACAAGCATAAAATTAAGTTAAGCATTGCAGAGATGAGGATGCTCAGGTGGATAACTGGTTTCTTTCTTAAGAACAAAATGTGAAACGAACATATACATGAAAAGATTAGAGTTGCTTCAGCGATAAACAAGATTAGATAGTCACCTTAAATGATTTGGTCACATAAAATGTTAACCTTCCGATGACCCAATTAGGAGAGCAAATGTATTATATTTGACCTATGTTAAAAAAAGTAGAGGCATATCTCAAAAGATTTTGTTAGAAAATATTAGAAATAACATTTTTATTAGATTAAAATGAAATTTTGACTTTTAACATAATACAATGGAGAAAAAAAATATGGAGGAAAAGGATTCATGTAGCCTACCGCATGTAAATTTTTTTGGAACATTTAGGACAATTAAGACAAACTCACACACATATCACATATGCGAAACTCAAACCCAAGATCTATTGGTAAGTAACCAAAGCTCCTAACCAATAGACCAAAATAAATTGCTACTAGTGATATAAAGACTTGATGTTGTTATTGTTACTATTGTACTTTATCTCTCAATGTTATGTGTACTTATTTAACTTTGTCAAAGACATTCGACCTTTCTCCTCATTATTACTAATCAAATTGGGAAATTCAGCAAATGTCTAATAATAACTAAATCTAATATTTCAGGCAGATCTTATTAGAAAATAACTAAGAAAAAAATTGATATAATTATTAAAAAAAAGGAGATGCATAACATAAAAAAAATATATATTTACAGAACTAACCCCTAAATTTTTAAAATGAACTATAAAACTTATGTATTTGGGAGTCTTAAGATCAAATCATTAAAATTTTAATAAAAGTGAAAAACAGGAGGCAAGAATTTATGGCCCACTAATTAAAGGATAAATTATTTCTGTATATATATATTATGACATGAGATTTTATTTTGCTCTAATAATAATAATTTGCTGTCAATTTTATAAAAATATTAAATCGACCCACTTCAATATATATTATATCGAAGAACTAATGGTTACTACTTAACAAAAATGTCATTCAGAACAGAAGTATGAATTTGATGTTATTAATAATTTATTGCTATTTATTTGTAATTTGGGAATCAATTTTTAGGGAATTTATAATGAAATGCAGGTGGTAGGCTTGATGCTTAAGCTTCGTTTGAGACGGCTTTCTTGTTGCTTCTTAAAGCAGCTTTCTAGTTCAAAATTTAAAATTTTTGAACTAGAAAGCTACTTTAAGAAACAGTAAGAAAGTAATCCCAAACAAAGTCATAGTTATTCTGCCATAAGCATCATTTACCACAGCTCTTGTGGGAATTTTGTGCCAAATGAAGCCTAAATAAGCTATTAGTGTAAAAGCTGCTCAACCAAGTTGATATTTGATGATTGCAGTTTGTATGGAAGTCAGGAATTCTAAGCAAAAGAGAAGTTGGAAACTCTTTTATCTTATCAATGGTTGCAGATTAGTTATGAAACAGTAAAATCCTATTTGTTTATTGATTTACTTTCTGTCATCCAACCAAAGCCTTACTAATTCATATTTATTCATGCATCTAAGAAGTCAAAATAAAAATAAAAAATATACAAAATAGAGGAATTAAGAAAGTACAGAAGAAAAAACATAAAGGGAAAGGTTAAAAATAATTGAATATAAATTAATCATTGCGAGACAGATAGCAAAGACTGAAACAATCAAAACAAGAATTTTGAATAAAGAAATCATAAACCAAGTTGTAAGTTTTTCTTATCTATATACTGTCCGGTGTATTAAAAACAAACGCAAAAACTTGCCTGGAAAGACATCTCCATCTCTTGGTTGTTGAAGAACAGTCAACCTGTTGACTCCTTCCATGAAGGCAGCGGCCAAAGGGAGAGCTTGGTGAAGTAACTAATTCCTCGGCGGAACCTAGCGAGGCCACCCACCGGTATCGGGCCCACACTTGTTTTGCCCCATAAAAGAGGCGAGGCCGTAGTAGAGAAGATTTGAACCCAAGGTGAGGAGTTCCCAACCGTGCTCACCCACCAACCACCCTAAACCTCGATGGGTAGATTTAGTTTAAATCCTGTCAAATAGAAATTGCTCTCTTTAAATCATACTGTCTTGACAAATCAAATTTCAACTAGATTAAGTCAACCATTCCAAGGATTTAAGGGATCAAAGAATTTCTACTCGCACAAATCTTAAATCCTAACCAAATAATAAATAAATTATCAGAATTTAACAAAATTTTATGATAGTTATGTTAAATAAATTTCAGGTTCTAATCCCTTCAAGAATTACTAAATTTGGATTTAGAGGATTTACTAAATCCTACTTGTTGACAAACATCACCTTCACCTGGGACTGTGAGGTCTTCCATTACAGTAGAAGAATGGAGACTACACTAACTCTAAACCTCCAAGAGATTTTAACAGAATAGAAGGAAAGATTGCTAAAGCTGCTTTTTGATTATATCCTGAATCCAACCAGCACTTAAAAAATAAAAAATGCTTCGGTGCACAATTAGGAGCCCAAAAAAGTAAAATTATTCTGTGTGACGACCAGTCGTAGAACGCTGTCTAGAGATAAACAAGAATGCGCCACGTCAACGGTACCGAGTAGTACCGAGCCGCGATACCGAGCACATGCGTGACGTGGCGCATTATGGTTGGTCTCTGGACGGCGTTCAGCGTCCGCACAGAATAATTTCTCCAAAAAAAGTCATCAAAGTCATTGGAAGAACGATGTGAGGCACATACATACCACATGTCTATCCATTGAATCACCTGAAATTTCAATTTCCTTTTGAGCTATATTTTAGGTACCATAAAGTTACTCTTCAAGGAAATGACTGTAAGCTCACCTGTAAGAGCATGCGCACGATCTCTTCATAATCCTTACGAACACTTAAAGTCCCACTAAGCAGCAAATGTCCATGATCCAATGAACAACACCAACCTCTTGCTTCACTTTGAGCTGCAAATAAGATGGTAGAATAACAATTAGAATTCACGAGGGCTATACAACTAAAAAACATGTCAAAGTGCGGGATAACTGAAACCAGAGAGAGAGTCCTTCTGTTAGACAGGTCCATTGGACCGATCCAGCTGGTCCGACGGGACCGGGTTATGCAAAATAGGCGGAACTCTCTGCCCTCCTGTATGCCCCGAACGCATGCCGTAAGCTTTCAGGGGCTGTTTTGGAAGGATTTTTTAGGGTTTTGGGAGGGAAGAAGTATGAATGTAGGGACTGTTTAGAGATTTCCTTTTGAATTGTATACATTAAATAGTTTGTTTTTCTAGGGTTAGGGCATCTTGAATTTGGCTAAAATTTGAGATCTCATGGATTTAAGTTTTCCTTTGGGCTCTAGCGGCGTCTAGAAATTGGGAGAGATTGATCCTCCTCTCAAATAGAGGATCAATTGTATCTTGGTATTTTCCGCTTCCTTTTCATCAAATAATACAAATTATCTACTGTTTTAGTGGTTTTGTGTGGATTTTGGTGGAAAAAGCTCACTGTTTTCCGAAGACTAATAGGAAAAACTTTGAGATCTACAAGTGCTTCCTATCACCTTCATTCAGAGAAGCCTGAAATAGTGATTTGGGTACCATAGCAGACACCCCCACCAGATGGAATGGTTATGTTGTTCCTAAATGACTAGCTCAAGGCTGCTAAAAATAGACAATTAGGTACCTCAGCTCCATCCCTATACATTAATGTTTGATTGTTCGGCTCATTGCTTGGCAAGTAGTTAATTAGATCTTCTCATTGCTATCAAGCAAATAGGACAGTTTTCTAGATGCTGCCCTTCACAAAAGCAAGCCATATGCACCCAATAATGCTGAAATTCTTCAGTAATTACATATAAACAGGTGGCGCTGCATCTACAACAGAAAAAAAAAACATCAGAAATTAAGGAATGCAATTAAACTAGGAAGAGTTGGATGAAAACAATCTGGTTCGGGTTACACTTCATGATGGCTGTCCTGGAAATACTTGCAGGATTCATCAGAATGGAAGTTCTTAAGAACCTAAATCAGGCCAGTCTCAACAAGCTCAGGTGAGATGATTTGAAGAAAGCTGTATTACCTTTCTAACACATGAAAATGAAAAAAAAAAAATTATACCAGGATATTCTGATTCAAACCCAATTTTGATCATACTGAGTTTTATAGCTATCAGATTTATTTTGAAATTGGAGCAATATAAATTTTGATTGATTAATCATATATTGCAATTATCTCAAAATAAATATTATAGTTATAAATCCATTCAACTCAAATGTGTGTAAGGATAACAATTTTCAGGCCAAGGGTCAAAAACAGAACATGACAGAAGTACTCTCAAATGTAGATGCCTAAGTGAATGTGATCGAGGTTGGATTATGATGATACTGATAGGAAGTACTTGTAGATCTCGCGTATTTCCTAACAATCTTTGGAAAACATCGAGCTTTCTCCACAAAAATCCGCACAAAACCAAGAAAACAGTGGAAAATTTGTATTATTTGATGAAATAGAAACGAAAACTAGCAATATACAGTTGATCCTCAATTCGAGAGGATTGATCTCTCCCAAATCTCAAGACACCGCTAGAGCCCAAAGGAAAACCTAAATCGAGGAGATCTCAAATTTCAGCCAAATTCAAGATGCCCTAACCCTAGGAAAACAAACTATTTAATGCATATAATTCAAAAGGAATTCTCTAAACAATCCCTACTTTGAAATTTCCCTCCAAACTCCCTTCAAAAACTTTCCTAAACATCTCACAGGTGACTGGGCAGTCGGCTCCTGCATACAGGAGGCGGAAACACCACCAGTTTTGCATAAGCCAGTCCGGTCGGACCGATTGGACCGGTCTAACAGATACATAGGAGGTTGCAACATAATGTGTCAAAATTACAAGGAAGCAACATACAGCTTAAATTGTTGACAGCTCAACCCTAAAGAGTCTAGGTCTGACAATTTGATGGGCGCAACTGATGACTATGGTTTGTTAGACCAATCTCTTCACAGTGATTAAAAGATTGAAGAGTTGTTTGGAGTGGCGACCGACTCATAGGAAGCTAGCATTCCACTATTTTATTTATTGATTGTTGCTTTGCTTATAATTAGCTTTCACAATGATTTTAGTGATTAGATGTCTGTCTTCTTCTTGCTCACACCCTAATTCCTCTATTTTCATCTCTTTCTCTATTTATGTTTAACGTAATTCCTCCTCTTGCAATATAGCCAACTAGCTCTGTCTTAATTCATGTTGTTCTCGGTATGTTAGTTGAATTCATTCTTTTGCAGACAGACCTTTTTTTTTTGGAGATTTTTCTCGCATCAAATGAGTTTCAAAATAAAATTATTTGATGACATTGATGAAAGAGAGAAAACTGATGTATTTTAGGATATGCAAAATTATTATTGAATGATGAAACCATTGATTAATTGATGTGCAAATCATTTTTTTATTGCAAATAGCCCGTTACTCTTCCAACCTCTTAGGTTGGCTGAACCTGCGCATCTTCTACTCTTTCTTTTTGTTTTTGTACTTTGCTTGTTGACGGTTATTCTTTTGTGACGACAGTAACGGGCTCCTTAGGTTGTACTACCTTTCCTTTGACGGGTCGGGACGTATTTCTTGATTTTGATCCCCTGTTGGACGGGGAAGAAGTACGACCCTCAGGATGTTGCTGTACCGGCCTATACAATTCTCCTGTTCTCTTCTGAATCTTGGAAGGGACATCGGAAGGCGGGACTTGAATGGGGGAAGGCGGCCTACGTGCAGTGCGATGTCGCCGTGGTACTGATTGTACAGGGGCCCACTCCTTCCTGGGTTGATCTACTCTGGCAGTTATAGTTTTCTCTGATCTTCCATCGTTACGCCTCTGAATTAGTCTTTCGTGTTGATCGGCTCGGGCATATGTCGTAGACAGATCAGCATATCGCTTCATTTCTCTACGAGGAGGACGAGTTGCTCCTCTGTTAGTTGGCTTTCTTAAGATATGGGCCTTGACCTTATCAGACACTGCACCGCCCATTCGCCTCATAATCTCAGACTTAGTGGTTCTTTCCTTATCCGCCATCCACTGGATAACTGAACGGGCACCAGCAAATGGGGATCTCCTCTTCTTAGAGGATTCGGCTTCATCTTGAAAAGCAGATGGTCGAGACCTAGCTATGTTCCTCACATTTTCCTCACCTCGAGCAGCCGAGAGAGGGTAGTGGAATCTGCTACCTTCCAAGAGGGGAAGTTTCAGGCAACCAGGAAGCGTCACCTAAGTCTTCCAAACCAGCCTTAACTAGCTTCCTCTGCTCATCCAATTCTTCCAAAATCTTCTTCAGTCTCTTACTTCTGTTCTTTCTTTGTGCTCTTGTCAGGGGAACTGTTGCAGAAGAAGAACCTACTTCGTATACAGACGGCGCTGCCGAAATCCTACCATCGGGTTTTACTCCCTCAGGCTGAGCAGGCGGGAAAGACGTGGTAACGGATTTCATATTAGCGGGACGGGTAACAGTCTTGGCAGCGGCCGAAGTTTCAACGGCTTTTCGTTTCAGAGTGGGGAACTCGTATTCTAAGGATACGTTGAATTCCAGAACGGGCTTCGTATCAGCGAGAGCCCTATTGTCAACAGTAGTCAAAGTCAGACCATCAGAGGTCATGTCCAGGTGTTCGAATCCTAGACCAAACTTCATGAATTGAAACTGGCTAATATTTCTATTTCTAATATGTTGTAATTTTCTATGCAGCTTATATTTGTATGACACTATATGATATTTAGATATAATCTAACAAGGATTTATTGATTCATAATTCATATTAGTTAATCAAAATATTTCATATAATGAAGTTTTTTTCACAAGATAGTTTCTTGTGCAACTCTTTGCTATCCATGTCACCAGTTACTTTAATAGAAGTAATAACCCAATGGTGTCCTATTTGATTACAAAATTCTGAGAAAATTCAACGTTTAGCAAGCTTCTAAACTAAATAACTCATAAATTAATGGCACTTTTAAAGCAATATTTGGCAGGTTTTAGACTAAGCAACTCATACATTAATGTTGTGGTAATGATTAAATGATGTCAAATATTAGTTATTTCTAGCACCTCATTTCAATATTTTGATAGCTCATAACCTCTAACTCTTGATTAGCAACCAATAAATATAGTTTATTGTCCTGATTCTTTTTAGGATCAAATCAAGAATGGTACTAAGCAGATGTTGTAGTTGATGAAGTTGCAAATGTCATTAATATGTGAAGCCAAGTGTTCATTCAAAATTTTGAAGTTGTTTATTCGCTCATTTAAATACTCGTTCAATTAATTTAAGCAAGCCAAATTCAATCATAGAAAAATTTAAGCAAGCCAATAAGAATATATATGTAAAAGCTCAGCTCAAGCTCAACAAGTTATTGTAGTTGATGAAGTTGCAAAGATTTGCAGCATTATTACAAATGCAAAATGAAAGTTATAGTTAGAATCGAAGAAATCTGCACTAGCATGAGAATACACAGCATCAATATATAAGCAAAAATTTTAGGTGAAGATGTAAAAGGAAAGAAAACTAATAATAAAGAATGAAACAATTAAGATTAATTTGCCAAAGTTAAAATTGGAGCCAATCAATCTGAAATACAATATAAATTGAAAATAAACTTCAGCAAAGATAACAAGTAACACAATACAATTCTGTCAATGTTTACAACAAAAGTGCTCTTTACCATGTACACGAATGTGGTTTGCCCGCTTTTCTATCCTGGTCCTTTTGTCATTCTTTTCTGCCTCTTAATAAATCCATCCATCAAAGTGATATATGTTGAACTATTAGTAGGTATACCTTTCTGAATCATTTCCTCCAGTACAAGTTTAGCTTCTTTGAAATGCCCCTTGCTACATAGATCATTGATCTGGTCAGAATATGCTTCAGATGTGCTAGCTTTATCATCCTCCCCTACATTTCCATCAATAATTCTCTCAGGCTCTTTCGCAGACTCCTTTGAAACATCTTCTCCAGACAAGGGCCAAGAGAAGTGCTTTGGTAGTTTATCAGATTCAGATAATTTTGACAATATATTTTGAGCCTCTTCAGTTCTCCCTGCTTCAGATAAAGCACATGAAATCACATGACAAGTATAAGCATCAGGTTTCACTTCCTTCGCCTCCATATCAGCAAAAAGCTTCATTGCAGCATCCATCATCCCCTCCTTGCATAGGCCATTAATGAGAATATTGTAGGTGATAACATCGACCTTCTTCCCCTTCGATAACCAAGATTCAAAAAATTTCAATGCTTTATGCACCATACCATTGTTGGAGAGTCCATGAATAAGAATATTGCAAGTGAAAACATTTGGCTTGAAAGAATTCTCCACCATTTTGTTGTGGAACTGGAATGCACTCTCTAAATCCCCTTTTTTGCAGTAAGTGTGAATGATTGTGTTGTAGGTGGTATCATCTGGAACCAACCCCTTACTCATGAGCTCATTCAACTTCTTGATGGCCTCCTCTATCCTATCTGATCTGCAGAGGCCAGAAATCAATACATTGTAGGTAGCAATACTGGGGATTATGATTTTATTTTGCATTTCATCCCAAAGCATCAGTGCATCAGACAAATTCTCCTCCTTAAAATAAGCATTGATCACAGTGCCGTAGCTGACTTCGTCAGGAACGAAGCCCCGCTTTGGGGGGCTTCGAAGAAGCTCAGAAGCTTCATCAAATCTCTTCTCCTTGCATAGACCATTTAGAACAATGTTCAGGGTGAAAGTGTCCATCTTGAGCCCTCTTCCAACCATCTCATCCATTAACTTGTAAGCTTCAGCAAAATTCCCAAACCTACAATACCCACTGATCAAAGTATTATAAGTAACATTGTCTGGTTTAGTGCATTCTTCCTCCATCTTCTTCAAATTCAAAACTGCCTCCTCCATTTTTCCTTCCTCGCACAACTGTTTAACCAATATATTATGGGTGACCAAGCTTGGCTTCAACCCCTTGCTCCTCATCTCCTCCAACATTCGAAAAGCAATAGCTTCACTCTGCCACTGAAAGCAACCCTTGATAATAGTATTGTAAGTAACAACATCTGGCAAAATTGCTAGTTTTTCCATCTCATCTTTAAGTCTACAAGACTCATCTATCCTACCCTCCCTGCACATCCCCAAGATTAGCATATTGTATGTCCGTAAATCAGGTAAGAAATTGGACCTGGTCATGAGCTCAATCACCTTTGTGGCCTCCTTCAACCACCCAACACGGCAGTACCCAGCAATCAGAGTATTGTAGGTGGAACGATTAGGCAAGAGTTCTCTACCCTTCATTTCTGCAAGCAGGTCACGAGCCTCCTTAAGCATGCCTTTCCGGCAATAGCCGTCGAGTATTGTGTTGTAGGTGATGGTGTCCGGTGAGCATCCAAAGCCTTCCATGGTGGAAAACAGGGAGAGGGCATCGGTAAATTGGCCGCGGGAGACGAAGCCGTGGGCGAGAATGTTGAATGTATGAGTGGTGGGGGACACCCCGAGGTCGACAATGTCGTGGAAGACGGAGAGCGGGACTGAAGAAGGGGAGGTCGAGCGGACGAGTGAGGAGAGAAGAGCGTTAGCAGTGATAGTGGAAGGGCGGAGGCGGCGGCTCTTCATGGTTTGGAAGAGCTGGTTGGCGAGATGAGGTAGGCGGAGCTGGGAGTAGGACGATACGGCAGTGTCGAGGAGGGAGCGTAGGTGGTTGAAGTCCTGGAGAGGGCGAGGGGGAAAGCGGATGAGGCGGCGGTGAAGGAGGCAGTGCCGGTCAGTGGAGATGAAGGAGAGGAGGAGGGATTTGAGGTCAGAGAACTTGCGGAGGCGAACGAGAGGGGGGAGGAGAGCGAGGAGGGAAGGGAGGAGAGCGGAGGGATCGGAGGGGAAGAGAGTGCGGGAGAGGTTGTAGAAGTGGAGGAGAGGGGCGGGAGAGGAGAGAGAAGGGGAAGAAGAGGCGGAGGAGAGGATGGGAGAGAGGAGTGCAGGGGAAAGGTGTGGGAGGAATGGGGCAAGTGTTTGGTCGAGGGAAGGGGAGGATGGGTCTTGGGCGGCGAGTAGGATGGAGGATACCGTGGAGACGAGGTCGACGGAGGGAGATTCTGCTTGCTGTGACGATGATGACGCCGGCATTGACGGAGAAGGCGGGAGATTTTCCATGCTGCGGTTAAGGAAAAGCACGGTTTGGGAGATCGCCGTCTCTGGCGGCGACGGCTAGGGCTTTCAGGTGTCAGAGGCGGTGGCCGGTGATCTGTAGCAATTAATTTCGATGAGGAGATTTATGCCAGTTCGAAATATGGATTTTTTTTTTTGTGTGGTAATTGAATCCTACTTTTGCGTGTGATATTTAAAAATTTTATTTAATGTTATCTGCTAAAAAAATTATTATGATGCTTATAAGTTTCTTATCCTATTTTTTCCTGAAAAATCAACTCATTTTATTTTGACTTTCTTCCCTATAAGGAGCGGCAGAGTCATAAATTTTATTCAAGAGGATCTAAATTAAAATATTTTTGTATGTCGTCTCTGTTGACTTCGTTTTTGTCCTGATTTGCCCTCGAATGTGTTTGATCATGTTGATCGAGCCTCGTCGAGCTCGATTCAATTCGAATCGGCATTGATTCGAGTTTGATTTTTATTTTATTTTAATTTATCTAATTAATTTGGTCGAGTCGAGTCGAACTCAAATTGACCCGAGTTGAGTTAAATTGGGTTTGATTTGAACTTGATTATGGCCAAATTGGCTCAGCCTAATTCTAATTGAGGTTTCATTGACTTTATAAACCCATTTGAATTTAGTATTAGATAAGGAAATAGAACCCACGGTCTTGATTTACCTTGAAGCCCGAGGTCTATCATTGGTCAGAAGCCGCCGTCGCATGATATTCCCTTTCGAGGCCCCTCTGATTGCCTGGAGAAAAGTTCTAGGCGGGATGGAACCATTTCTACGTGAGAGGGAGATAGAGGATTGTCCCTCGAGCAGTAAGGGGCGATTTTTTTCTACTCCCTTTTTTTTTCTTGGTTCGGCACGCCCTAGATCATGGATGGACACACTCTCGCTCCCTCTCCCTCTCTCTCTCGATTTAGCACAGCCTCTCCCTCTCCGATTCTTTCTGGTTTGCGGAAGCACGAAGGAGTCCGACTCCTTGCTCCCTCTCTCTTTGGCTCTCCCTGTTTTCTTCCTCCGTTTGCGAACCTAGGCTGAAGCCTGTCCAAGCTATAGGTGTGTGAACTCCCCCTAGTGCTGAGAGCCCTTCCCTCACTTGCTCCCACTTACCCTTCCGAAGACGCTCATCACATGTTCGGTACCGTTCAACATATGCTCGGTACAGCTAGGTATTTGCTCGGTACCGCTCAGCATATGCTCGGTACAGCTCGGTATATGCTCGGTACATGCTCGGTACTATTCAGCATATGCTTGGTACATCTCGGTATATGCTCGGTACCGTTCAGCATATACTCGGTACAGCTAGGTATTTGCTCGGTACCACTCAACATATGCTCGGTACAGCTTGGTATATGCTCGATACATGCTCGGCATCGTTCAGCATATGCTCGGTATATGCTCGGTACCGTTCAGCATATGCTCGGTACTGCTAGGTATTTGCTCGGTACATGCTTGGTGTCGTTCAGCATATGCTCGGTACAACTAGGTATTTGCTCGGTACCGCTCAGTATATGCTCGGTACAGCTCAGTACATGCTCGGTACCGTTTAGCATACGCTCGGTACAGCTAGGTATTTGCTCGGTACCGCTCAGTATATGCTCGATACCGTTCAGTATTTGCTCGGTACCGCTCATCATATGCTCGGTACAGTTAGGTATTTGCTCGGTACAGTTAGTCTCTTATCCTCCTCACCTCCCTTTCTTCTTTTACTACTTTTCTTAATTGCGCTTTAAGATTGAATGCTTATAAAAATGTAAAGAAATTATGATTTGTTTTATGGTGGATAGTCATGCCTGTTATACTTATTCTTATTAGGGTGCTTTATGGTTTGCTTTATGATTAAAAAGATTTACATACTATTCTACGTTTGAAGGTTTCATGAATGATTTTGTCTTAGAAAAGCTTTGTGAATGTTTTATAATAGAAGAGTCTCATGAAGTCTTCTTGTTAGAAGATTTTCATGAATTCTACCCACACCAAACATAAAAGCACTTGATTATCTTTGTGTCAAAAAGGATTTTGGTGGATGATTTGCGTAAGGTTTTATGTAGCATTTCATTTAGAATTTTTTATAAGTCATTTTTTGGGATTTCTAGTTTCATGATTAGCTTTGTATAGTAATGTCCTTTTTAGAGTGAGATAATGTTCAGTGTGTGGTTTACCTTTCTTTTTCTTATTCGTATTTGCTTCTAAAGGCTGAATTTTGGATGAGTCGTAAAAGAGAAGGCTAGTTTTGATTTTGGTTTTGGGAGCTTGATTCATTTGGTTATTTTGAGTTTTACTTAGGAAATAATATATGTAATTGAGTTGAGTTTTATCAAGTGCTTTATTTAGATTGTGGTTACAGTAAAGGGCATTAAAAATACCTTCTTCCATATTCGTATTACATCAAATTAGAGATAAGGTTGTTTTAGAGGCACACTTGGCTGCAAAGAAGTGTGTCAAACAATAGAAATGCCTACATTCTCTTATTGTTTTGTTTTCTCACTTCTCTCCTTCTTTTTGGTATTTTGTAGTTTTCGTTCTTCTTGCATTTCTACTACTTTCCAACTTATTGTCTTATTTTATTCATAAATTCTTAAACTTACTAATATATGTATGGATGTCCTGAGGGGTTAAAAAAACACTTCCTTTTGTCCCACAACATTATTGACACCTAAGGATAAAAATTAAGGACCAGGTCTTAGGTAACATAGACTTAGGGTGTATGCTCCTTATAGAATATAGACATCAAAATATAAACTTAGTGATATGTTTTTCTAGATTTGTTGTGCCTTAATTCATTAATAATCAACCAACAAAATCAACCTTAATCTACCCCAAAATGCACTAAAACACTTGACTTTTATCCAAATCCTAATGAACATAATAATCACTAAAAATGTAAACTCAAAACATAAATATACATCAAATCCAATAGATCTCTTAATCAATCTCTAATAAATCAAAATTTTAAAAGATGTAGATTGAGTTAGGAAAACAAACATAAACTAAAACTCAGTAAGTTAAAAGTCTTCTAAAACTCAAATTCACTGACTCACTCAAACTTTAATCAAACCTTAAGTCAATATTTTGAAACAAATCAACAAACCTCTTAATATAACTATATAAATTTGCTTTTTAGGATGGACTACTCCGGGTTGCGAGGTTAAGTGTCCTAAGGAGGCCTGGTTCCTCGAGCCTGGTGGCACAACACCACAAACCAGATGATAGCAAACTTAACTAATTTAACCCCTTAATTGATAATAAATTATTTAATTCGCCCTTTCTTTTTAATTTACAACCAACTAAATTAATCCAACAAAAATTGGTTGTCACTAGGTAACTCAGACCTACGAGGCTATTAAGTTAGTCCCAATGAGTGTGAAATAAACCTCATGGCATCGATGAGAAATAAATGTGGTAATCAATTAAATATTAAAATAAAAAAATCTTCAAAATCATTTTTAAAATATTAATATTTAAACATCAATTAAAATCTCTTGTTTGACCTTTAACAAATAAAATGCAAGTAACCTTAACTAAATCACCCTATATAAGACATACCCTAAACCACACAGCTTGTGATACACACATAGACTTATTTGGTTAGGACACGACTTCTAGCTTTAGGTTAGGTCGATATTTTCTTTTGTTATTCAATATTTGCTACATGTACATGTTCTATAAATACAATTCTTAAATTTCTTATTATTTATATTTTTATTTACCTACATTTATTTTCTGAATGGCATCTACGCTCATATGTATATTTCTCTTTTATCCTATTTTGCGAGGTACATTGGGTCTTGCACGGTCAAGAATCAAGCGACATCATTTGCTTAAGAGCTTTTAAGTGATAGCGCCACAGTTAGAATCAAGCGACATCATTTGCTTTCTTGGAGCTATTAAGTGACAGCGCCATAGTCAGGTATAATTTCTACAACTTAAACTCCTAATTATATGTCAGAACTGTTACACATCACACATATCTTGTTAATAACTATTCTAGCATGTTTAGGTAGCTAGCCATAGGTTAGTGCACTAATGAAGCTTTGACCCTATATGTAAAAGCTTGCCCCCTTCTATGAGCCCTATAGTACCCTTATGGTCACCTTAGGCCTGTAGTGTAGGCCCACCCATTTGTGTTATATGCATCGTTGTTTTCCCACACGAAGTGGACATCACTAGGATATTTGCCTTTTTCTAGTTTTAGGTATGATACCCCCCACCTTCTTTGAGCCTTAGAGACCGTTAGGGTCATTTAGGCCTGTAGTGTAGGCCACCTATTTGTGCCATGGGCATCATTATTTTTCCACACGAAGTGGGCAACGTTAGGATGGCTTTCTATTGTGATGTGATGCGGATACTTTACCTGGAGGGTATCCTTGGTGTGTTTATTTATTTTTTATGTACTCTGCATTTCATGCATGCATTTTTACACACTTTATTCCACAGTGCACGTTACTTACATACATGCATTACATTAACATTACTCAGATTAAAATGTCATCTTATCCTTCAATAGACATAAGGTTACTCTTACTCATGTATCCATTTTATGCATCATATACATCGTTGGGTATATTCTTTTGCATATCATAGAATCTTTGATTTAAACCTTTTAAACTATGAATCCTTGATTTCTTAGGATAGAGCATTCCTATCTCATACACATATAGAACGATTGGTTGTGCTTAGGATGTTAGCTGGCTGCTCACTCCAGGCAAGCATAAGCCTAGATTGTATACCCCTCAGTGTGTCTTTCCACTTCTAATGTGTTCTGAGTATATTATTTTTCTTAGGATAGTAATCATATCTTTTATCTTTTAAACTTAAAATCTTAATCACATTTTCATTTATTTAAAAAGTCTAATCATCTCTAAGGATAAAGAGAAGAGTTTATTTTCTTCTGAGTAGAACCTAAATTTTTTTTTTGTGAGCCAAATTAAGAAGAGAATAATACACTGTCCTTAATCGAGAGTTTTTCTAAGTCAAGGCCTATGATATAATTAACCACGGGGGCTTGTGCCCATGGGAGACCGATCCCCACATCAAATAAATCACATTTGAGCTGATGTATCGAATGGGAGAAATCTCGTGACTTTTGGGTTATATATATTATTATCCATCGAAATGTGTAGGTGAAAGTCGCTATCTTCTATGACTAATCGTATGTATAACTCGATCTGCTCTTCCATCGGCCTACTTATGTCGAGTGTAAAGGCCTATGATAGTTTTGTCCTACGGGATAGTGCGGTCGTACTCTTTACAATCGAATCCCATGAGCAAAATCCTTTCGGAGACCCACAGTCTCATCTGAATTATTAGAATACGCTAAAATGGTTATGTTTGACATTCCATTACTTCTAGCTTTAGTTGGAGTTTGGATGACTCCAAATTTAATTTTAAAATTTTTCAATTCAAATTGCCTCAAAATTAGTGCCTAGTCAAGGTGATTTTTTTATGATATATCAAGCAGAATAGTTCTAGTCAATGTGGGTAGATCTGGAATAAAATGATAGATTTAAAACTATGGCCAACAAAAAAGTAAAAAAATAGAGAAAGGAAACTAACAGCACAAGGTAGAGCGGTTGATCGACTCATCATAGGTCACTGTTTCACAAGCATGAAGGGAGAGAGAACGTAGAGTTGTTTTGAGAGCAAGGGAGCGGGGAGGAAGTTATAGTGATGAAAGCTAAACTATTTAAGGAAAAGGGATTAAGATGAAACAATTAATTTAAAAAAAAAATTATGAACAACTCTTTGTAATGAAATATGCAAAGAGGAATATTAGCTACCAAAGTCGGTGAAAAAAGAGAAGAAGAATATCAGTTTTTCTCATTTCTCATTCTATCTTCTTCTCATCAAAAGTACATGTATATATATTAGAAGAAATAACAGAAATTATTATGAGAGAAAGTGCTTCTACCAAGTCAAATCGTTGGTCATGTGAGAAATCTATTGCAGCTGCTAGTGGGCATGTTTTGGTGGTGTGTTGACTGTCAGAACATGTTAACGACCCCCCTCAAGTTGATGGCGTAGGAGAGACCAAAAGCTTGGTTCTAAAAGTTGTAAACCAAAGGCGAGGAAGAGCCTTAGTAAAAATATAAGCAATTTGATCATGGGTATTGATGTGGTGTATAGTAATTGTAGCAGACTTAATGAAATCACGTATAAAGTGACAATCCATCTCTATATGCTTAGTGCAAGCATATAGCTCTTTATTATGTAGTGAAGAGACAAATTTTGAAAATGAGGCTGCCCGAACACTTCATTCCGTCCAGAAATCTAGAACTCCAGTCGCACTTGCTGCTACGCCAGGTTGTGGCTCATCCAGGCCGCCATTCCACACTGCTCGTGGTCGTGGTCAGTTCAATAATTCTCGTGGTGGTTGAACTACTTCATCTTGCATTGAATGTCAAATATGTGGCAAGCTTCGCCACTTCGCAGAGAAGTGCTGGCATCACACTAACCTTAATTATATTAAAAATAACTCCTTTGCATTTGTCGATGAAACAACATAGCAAGGTGTTTCACCTACCGATTGGATTTTGGACACAAGTGCCACATCTCATATTACAAATGATCATACTCAGCTGTTAACATCCCAACCATATCATGGCTTCCAGCAAATCCAAGTTGGCAACGGGCAGTCACTTCCCATCTCTCATACGAGTTCAGGGATTCTTCCTACACCTAAACGTAAGCTTTCTCTTTCTCAATGGTTATAAAAACTGAAGTATTTTCTAAATTTGTTCTATTCAAAGTCGCTAAACCTTGATGATTTTTACTCTTTATTATGTGGTGAAGAGACAAATCTTGAAAATGACGCTGCCCGAGCACTTCATTCAGTCCAAATATCTCAAACTCCAGTCGCACTTGTTGCTACGCCAAGTCGGGGCTCATGCAGGCCGCCATTCCGCACTAATCGGTGCCAACTCTGATCTGCTGATCATTTGCCAAATCTCTAAGTAGGAATCCATATTAAGGACATACGATAACAGAGGTACTGAAATGGTGGAAAATAGTGTTACAGTTAAGTTTTGATCAATTAGCATCCAGGTTGAAAATAATGGGTTGGGTATTACAGTACCAGTATCCGAAGAGATTTGACGGGGAGGGTGACGAACTATCCCGTCCAGGTAACTCTCAAAACTATTTGGGTGAAACACCTTCAAGACTTGCGACCGCCATGTGAGATGATTTTCAAGAGTAAGCTAGACGGTGATGACGTTCTTAATGGTAGACATTAAGAACTTCAATTGAGGTGGGATTGTAGATGTTCCAACGAGTAGACAAGCATCAGTGATACTGTTAGTTGTATAGGAGTTTCTTGATTCCATTGGACTAATGAAAACCACTGAGGAAGAAGAGTCGTGAGGCTTATAGAATCTCTGATACAATGTAATGAAATCTGCAAAGATGAATGTTAGTTACCAAAATCAGTGAAAACAAAGAAGAAGAATATCAGCTTTTCTCATTTATCATTCTATCTTCTTCTCATCAACAATACATATATATATATATTAGAAGAAATAAGAGAAAGTGCTTATGCCAAGCCCAATCATGGACCATGTGAGAAATCTGCTGCAGCCGGTAGTGGGCATGTTTGGTGGTGTGTTGACTGTCAGAACATATTAACACTCTCCACGCTATTCCTACATCGCTTGCCCTGTCTAACTAGTCGCCCGAATCATTCTTTCCCGACCCACCCAAGTCATTCAGTGGGCGGAATGATAGACTCAGATGTTCATCCAGTGAATGACTAACCCTAGCCACTGTCACACGTTACCACATCACCAGCATCTGCACGCGTTGCCACATTATCGGTCATCTCATCACCAATCATTTGCTCAGACAACGACTGACAATAGGTTTTTTTTTTTCTCCGAAGAAAAAAAAACTTTTACACTTTTTTATTTTAGAAGTGTCCTAAAAAATATCAATTATAACTTATAAAGAATTTATTATAAAAAAAAAAAACAATTCTGTAATTTTAACACTTCTGGTTTACTAATATGTCCTGATCAGCACACATAGACCTTAAATTTTGTATGCTAATTAATCTAAGCATTGAAAACAAAACAAAATGTAATTATGAAATTACAAGGAAACCGCATTATAGCATAACATAACGAAATAAAAACATTTTTATTACACCATTGACCTTGGACTCTCCAGCCTCCGCGTGCAGAAAACGACCAAGTCCTCCAACCGGCTTACCCCTTCAAAGTTGAAAGCCGGCACAACTATAACACAGCTCCTCGCCGCCCCCCCTTCTTCTTCAACACATCTCTCTCTCTCTCTACCAAGTGGAAGAAAAATGTGCCTGGAAGTTGCAACAATGGCGTCCTCGGTGTGCCTGGAGATCATAAGCACCTCATCATCTTCAACGGAAGAATCGGAAATGCAGTTTTTGATTTCTCCTCGTGTGATCGAAAGTGGAAAGATAGAGAAGAACACAGCAAAGAAGACGAATTGTAATTGCGAATTGGTGGATTACGACTCTCTTCCTGAATTCCTGAAGCATAACGAGTTCATCCTTAATCACTACCGATCTGAGTGGCCTCTCAAGCAAACCATTCTCAGCATCTTCTCCATCCACAACGAAACCCTCAATATCTGGACGTAAGAATCTCACACACCATATGGATTTCTCTTGTTCTCTTCAATTATATTTTGATTTGTTTTCTTAGGGATTTTACTAATTTCTAACCTTCTTCTTCCTCTGCAGGCACTTGATCGGCTTCTTCCTCTTCCTCATCCTCACTTACCACGCATCCACCCTCTTCCCAACCAGTCAAAACCGCTCAGGAAATTCGTCAAACAGCTTAAGTGCATCAACGTCGGACACCTTCATCTCCCGCTGGCCGTTCTATCTCTACTTAGCCGGCGCCATGTTCTGTCTCCTCAGTAGCTGCGCTTGCCATCTTCTCTCCTGTCACTCTTCCTTCACCTGCTATCTCACCCTCCGATTTGACTACGCCGGAATCTCCATCCTCATCGTCTCCTCCTTCTACCCTCTCGTTTACTACTGCTTCGCTTGTATACCCTTCTACCGTAACCTCTACATCTACACCATCACTCTGTTCGGCATCACCACCATCGTCGCCTCCCTCTTGCCGGTGTTCGAGACGGCGAAGTTTAGAGCCGCCAGAGCGGTGCTCTTTGCCTGTATGGCGGCGTCAGGACTGGTTCCAATTGTGCACAAGATGGTGGCTTTTGGCGATAGGAAGGAGGCCGTGGTAAGTACAGTGTACGAGGTGGTGATGGGGTTGTGCTATGGGGTCGGAGTGGTGGTTTACGGCGCAAGAGTCCCGGAAAGATGGATGCCGGGAAAGTTCGATATCGCCGGACATAGTCATCAGTTTTTCCATGTTTTGGTTGTTGCAGGGGCGTACATGCATTACTTGGCTAGTTTGATGTATTTGCAATGGAGAGAGACAGAAGGCTGTTAGAAACCCCAAAAAAGGTTTTTTTTTTTGGCAAAAAAAATTGGATCAGAACACTGTGATCAGAGATCTCTTCAGAGATTCAGAGATTTGATCAGTGGGGATTTCAAAATCATTAAATTAAAAATAAATGAAATGATTCTGATATCTGATCAAAATTTTTTTGAGTTTTTTTTTTTAGATTGAGTTGTTTATAGGTTTTTTAATGCCTTGATTGTTGTTAATTGGTATGTTCCAAAACTGCATCAAAGCAGATGTTTGTAATATGTTTATAATGATTTTTTTTATAATCTTTGATTAATGTAATTAATGACTATTATTCATATTATATTATATTTAATTACAAGAAACAAAAAATTTCAAATGAAAATTGGAAAAATTCTATAATTATGTAATAAAAAAAGTTTTTTCAAAAGTTATTATGATTTTATTAATTATAAAAGATATAAATATAAATTTTTATACAAATATTATATGGCCCCTCATTTTTTATAAGGAGAAAATATAAATCATTAAAAAATTTAATAAAATTCTACAAATTTTGTTTAAAAAATCATTTTCAAATTTAAGTAGTTTAAGTGCATTTAATTCTTATTTATAAGGGCAGTTCATCTTGGGAAATAGGCCAAATATATTTAGATATAAAGAGCAAAAAAAAAAAAAAAACATAAAAATCCTATAATAAAGAGAAAGCCTATCACCTCTTAAAATAATAATAAAATAGCTACAAAATATCCCATAAATATCGAATATGTTTAAGGAGCCATATGCAAATAATCTATAAAGTATATTTTCATTATAGAAAAAATAATAGGCTTACCTTAAGGTTATTCAATTTTTATTCTAACTTATGATACAATAAATTTTTATTTTAAAGAAAATTTATTTATTGATTATCATAATTAAAAAATATTGTATATTTTTTTACGCAACTACCAATTTACGACAAAAAGGCTCCAATTTACGTGCTCCCCCCCGCCCCCTAAAAAAATGGAAAATTTATTTTTTCTATAGATAAAATCAAGTTGAAAACTTCAAAAATTAAACCAGAGACCATTAGAACTCCAATTTTAGCAAACTTACAATCGAACTGAACGTCTCGAATTGAGCAGCTAGATGAGACGAATCCAACGAGCCCAACATCATTGAATTATGATATCACTAAGAAATTTAAATGCCCAATAAACAGTCCACGATCAAGATAGAGATTTAAATCGGCCGTACATTCAAATCACTCCCAATTTAATTTCCTATTCATTTACATTTTTTTTTCATTGGTTGATATTAGCTTAATCCTCTGATTCGATCTTAAAGAGATTTTATGATTTGTTTTTGTGCAATGAGATTTTTAATATTACATATTTAGTTAATATATTGAACCTGATCTAGAAGTAATCAAATGATTTTATAATTGAAAGTCATTTTGTGAAGGAAAAAATAAACTAATTCACTATCAAAGTTTTATCCTTTTAAAAACTAATTATATTATTCCCAAGTTCGGATGTAAAAAGTTGAAGGAAAATAAAAATAAAAAAAAAAATTAGGTCCCCATAGATATATTTTCTGACTCCGCCACTGTCTCTCTTCATATTTCTCTCAATGTCAATAATTGATGCAACATAATCTTCTTCAAGATTTTCTTCTTCCCATTACCATAAACTCTTCCAGAAGGTATATCCTTCTTCTTTGATTAGCTAAGCTTTCGCCATTGATTTAAACATGTGGAGCCAAATGAAAGATCGAGTATGTCAAATATTTGACGGCAAGCTTAATTAAAAGTCGATTTGTAGGAATTTCATGCTTTATTAAAAGTTAATTGGATCAAAGTCTTGAACCCCATGCAACATATTATTATTTTCTTAAAGTGTTTTCTAAAAAGTTTTAGATTTCATTTGGGACAGTTTTTTTAGTGCTTTCTAAAACAACTTTCTACGTATAAAAACTTTTTGAACTGAAAATTTTTGTGATAGAAAGTTGATTTCAAAAAAGTGAAAAATATGTCACAAATCAAATCTTAGGCTTTGTTTGGGGCGGCTTTCTTAATGCTTTCTAAATCAACTTTTTAGTAGAAAAATTTCTAGTTCAAGAACTTTGTGTACTAAAAAGTTGTTTTAGAAAGTAGTAAAAAACTGTCCAAGACGATGCCTTAGATTTTATTTGGGACAGCTTTTTTATTATTTTCTAAAACAGTTTTTTAATACAAAATTTTCTTGAGCTAGAATTTTTTTTTAACTAAAACATTGCTTTAAAAAGTAGTAAGAAAATTATCCCAAATGAAACCTTAATCAACTAAAAAAATAAAATAAAAAATAAAAATAGAGCCAAAATCAAAAGTAAAATAATTAATTACAACTTGTTGGAAAAAGTCTAATGCATAGTTTATTCTCACACGTATGCAAATATGTCATAACATAGAGAGAGGTTGAAGGGGAGAAAAAAAATGCAATTTTTGTCTTCATGTTTTATATATATTTTCTCCACTTAATAAAATAGCACAACATTAATATGAATAGGAGTGTCAAACCGTGTGAACTGGTCGGATTAGAATTGTTGCGTCTAGGAGTATTCGCGGCGGTAGAGAAATATCATATTTAACGTCTTAACATTGTAGGAAAATCCGGCACGCAATCAGATAAGGAGAGAGGGTCTAGCATTTATGAGACACCAAGATTTTTACATGGAAAACCCCTGTAAAAAGGGAAAAACCACGGGGCCTAGCCCAGATTGAATGAATCCACTAGTATTGTAGTCGATTACAAATGAGGCCCTTCCTTGGTGGAAGGCCTTAGCTTGATGTACATCTTATGGAGTACATTACATGATGTAAATACAAAGAATTATTATTGACATGTTCGCTTTGTTAGAAGGATTGCAGTCGGCGGACGACGTAGGTCAGGAGGACCGTAGTCGGCTGGCGACGGAGGTCGGAAGGACTGTAGTCTGACGACGAAGATCAGTAGGACAGCGTCAGGTAGAAGTCCAGCAATGGAAAGAAATGCATCTTCGCATAGATGTCCAGCGAAGTCCGATAACCGGTAGAAGTCTGGAATCGGGTAGAGACTTGGCGAAGAGTGAAGGTCCGACGTCGGGTAGAAGTCCGACATCTGTTGGTGGCAGAGGAGAAATCCGGCCTCCCTTGGGCGGAGTTTCGGCGTCAGGAGGAAACTCTCTTGTAAATTGGGAAGAATTTCAGCATCACGTGGAAGTTGTGCGAATTCCCGGCGTTTCCTGAAAATCCGGCAGAGTTCCGGAGTCTTCAGGCGGCAGGAAGAGCTCCAGCGATGGTCGAGGAGGTGAGGAATCTCCTTTTCCCCTTTCTCCTCTTCTTCTTCTCTCTCTTCCCTCCCCCCTTGGTGTAGAATAATGGCTCTATTTATAGTTTTTCTGGAGTGGCATAGCCCGTAAATAGGCGTGAGATCAGGGGCGAATTAGGAGTAGTTTGAATGGACGGCCGATATCGAATCCGTTGATCATGCACCGTTTGTTGGGCATTTGAA